CAAACATCTGGGATTTGGGTTGTGTGACACGCTTGTCCAGCGTCACAGAGAATCTGGGTGGTGTGAGGAACATCAGGGGCGTGCAAGGAATTGAGCCTTATATGCCACCAACAATGGTCAACCCAAAAAAGAGTTGAGCAAGTGGAAGCACCCGGATCCCCTTCATCTCCTTGTTGTTGGCTTTGAGTTCCAAGCCAGCTCCACAAAATGCGTTTGCACGGGAGAAATGGAAGGGCATATTTCTTGGGACCTAAACAAGCCCAAAGTTGTTGTTTACCACTGAAAACGATCTTTCAATGTGACTGAAACTCGGGAAGTGGGCTTCCCAACAAAGGCAAAGGCTGTGTTGCCCAGTTCTGCTCCCGGTGGCTTAACCCAATGCCCATGGATATTAGGGGTCCTCCAAAGCGTAATTTCAATTCCAAGATCAAGCCTGGAACTAAACCAGCCTTTCTGAAACAAATGTTTGGCATATCCGACTGAACAACAAAATCGAACACGCACACACACACACATGCCATGATCCAGAAATCAACCTTTCCGGTCTAGGAGATTCCGTTCACACATCAAGAGACATAGGTTCAAGATCTGGACTTGTGCGAGCATAGGTTCACACATCAAAGACAAAGATATCTGAACGATGAGATGTCATAGTACCTGGAGTCTTCAAGACTTGCAAATAGGTTCATAACCCATCATGACCCTTGGATGTTGGGCAGTCATCATGTTTGTTAATGAGTCACGGAGACTCCAGGTATCAGCGATTGGCCGTTGCTGACACTTCTCGCCCTCTTGGCTTGATTTTCGAAGAGGCGACGCATCCTCATCTGTCTCTGTGGCCGCCGCGGTGCGAGTCATGCATTCCTATGGCTGTCAGGGGCCTTTCATTCATATGGTGTAATGTTAACCCCGGATGAATAAACCCCTGGTTGATTAATAGGGGGTGTCCCCTCTTAGTGGGGATTCATCATTTTTGGAGGAAACACGGTCAACATTAAGTGAAATCAATCTCAAATAAAATCCCATTAGCCCTATAAACTCAAATCCGTCTTCACAGCCATAGGAGTCATGCGAGTCATGCCAACTGAATTCAAGTCGGCGGCTTGGACGAATGGATCACTTTAAACCTGAGAACTCCTCACTGTTGCTTGATTCTGGGCAAATTACTAGAATTCGCCGACCGGGAATAAGGAAGACCAAGTAAGGGACCTTCACGCACGAGCCTTTTTTTTGCCCCCAGGGCAAGCTCATTAAAACTCGCCTAGATGGCCGTGCTAGAACATGTCGTTCATTCTACTCTCTTTTTCACCTTGAGCCACCAATAACATGTAACACTCAGACTCCCATTTGCCCAGTGACGCTGGTCAGAAAAACAGGGACCTTTCAGAGGTGGTGGCCCACATTGTGGGAACCGGACTGCGCACAAAGGGGACAAAGGCAATAACTCGGGAATGGTGAGCTCCACAAAGGGGACCTTTTTTCGGCTGCGACTCGGGGAGCTGCTGAAGGTTGGTTGCTATACTCAACAGGGAAAGAAACACAGCGAACCAGACACCGGGTCATTGATTAACCCCAGTCCGGCGAGTGAGCGCTAACCCTGGCTTTCGTATGGGCATCGTCCTTGAGCCAAACGGGCATTGCCGTCGGCATGGACCAACTTCTACACCGTGATTATACTACAATCGCGCTTGAGCTGCGATCCATGCGTTGCAAGGTCCTTTACCAGACCATTGAGAGGGCTTACTTACTCAATATTTCTGCATTCACTTCACTGCTTTGTCATCTCAGGCCGGACATTCTTCAGCTTTTGTCCTACGACACTTTGCCCCGATACCCCGGGATCAGTAGGGGATTTCGACTTTCATCCGGAGGAACCGGAACATTTTGTGCCATGGATGCAACACAACTCTTTCGAGGTCAGCAAGGCGCTGTGACAGAACAGGTTATCATTACCTAATGTATCTATCAGCTTGCCTTGCTGGAGGGTCTTCTTCTGGTCCCGCGAGGAAATTTCCTGAAGGGCCTCCTGTCGCAACCTTGCAACCTCGGCTTCAGCGGCCGACCTTGTTTGTTCTGCTTCACGCAAGCTCAACATGGCTTACGGCTTCCTGTTTTAACAGATGGACATGGCCCTGCTTCCTGCCTCACCTGTTGAACATGGCCTTGAGCTTCCTGTTGGGAATGCTGTGCAGCTTGCTCAGCCAATGCAGTTTGTCCGCAAGCTCGCTCAACTGCTTGCAGTCCTTGGTATGTCAGTTCCGTTGCCTGTTGTCTGAAGGTCTGTTCCCTCTGTTGCGCGACCGCTGCAACCTCCCCTATAGCCTATGTCGGGCCTCGTCTGCGGCTCGTGAAGAGCGACGTTGGCAGCGTGATCAGCACTGATTGAGGCTTAGTGCGCACGTTCCAATGCCGATCCGGCCACAAAAGCAGCAGCGTTCATATCCCTTAATGGATCGGGAATAGGCACCTGTGGGCTGTACACAAGGGGGGTTGATGTAGAGTCTGCATCGGGTTCCTCTACTATGGGCGCTCTGCGGGGAGGAGTCGTGTTGCGATCACGGCTACAAACATTTCTTGATGAGGATGCCCTGGAGCCTACGGGAACTACGGACATTGCGGGTACCGATATATCACCGAGTTCAGGGTCCTCATCTCCACCGCGCTTCAAGCTGCGGCCTTCGCAAAATGAGTATTCTACAACCGGTGCGGGCACAGTGCACTTCGCAACCGGACGCACTGATGCACCTCCAGCGGCTCCGAAATCAGCGGAAGAGCCCTTTTCCGCCCCTTGCAGAGTGGGGTCGGCGGCCAGGCTCCTCCACATACTCGTTCTGCTCGAGTGTCCTTGCTGGGCGCAAAAGGCGCCGATGCTTCTCAAGTCGAGCTCTGCAAGGGCATCGTACAAGGCGCGATTTGCGTCCCTGCGTCCAACCCCTATGGCGAAGGCACCTGTGTTTCGGCACTCCTTGAGGACGGCGTTATTGTCGTCGACGATGACGCACGCCCCGAGCTGCGCTAAAGCTGCAGCCTTGCCAGTCGGTCCCACCCGTTGCCAGGTAAGAACCACGTCCCCAAAAGGACTGCTGTTGTTGCACACGTTGGAGAACCTGCCCGCAGCAAGGAGGGTGCTTTCACGGGTGTCCCTGGCCTGGCAGTGACTGACAATGCGGATCTCGATCGGGTCTTGGAAAGCAACTTGAGCAGCCACCGTCAAGGGTATTGCGCCATCTAGGCACACCCCTCGTTGCTGCCTTGCCTCTTGCTGAGGCGCACCAAACTGACTCCTATTGCTGCCGGAGGCGGCCCTTTTTGCAGCGGCAGATGCAGGCTTCACCGGCAATTGAGGTGCCGGAGCGGCCTTGTACCTGGTCTCTTGGAGAGCCGGTGGTGCCTGCTTGTAAATGGCCTTTGGTGGCGGCGACGACTGCCTGATTGCTGCGCGTTGAGCTGCAGCCCTTGGCACTGGTGCTGGGGTGCAGGCAGTGGCGGCGGTGGAATGGTCTTCGACGCAGCGCGATCCGAAGCTGCCTGGTCAATCACGCTTTGTGGAGGTGCCTTGACCGGTTTTTTCTCTTGCCAAAAACAGTACGTTTTCGGGCCTTTGCTGGAGGGGCTGATGGTTCGCGGAGGCGAAGCACTCAAGTTGTACTGCTGCACTGTCCTTGCCGGGTGGTCACTTGGGGGTTATCGGATGGTGCTGTCGTCTGGTAATGGGATCCCCTGCGTGATGCTGTGGCAGGGTAGGATGAATGCCGGCGGGGCTGGCTGCCAGAAGGGGCCCTTTGTGTTGGTGGGCCCGGCGGCGTCTGTGGTGCCGCTGCACTTGCAACTGCAGCCTGGTCTGCCTGCCCTGATGCTGGTGGAACTGTCGCTGCGCCTGGAGGTGCAGCCTGCACAGTAGACACTGTTGGAGCCGACGACGACGGACTCGTTGGCGTCGCCTGCCCTGCCGCGCTTTGAGCTGCGGCCTGTGCCCGCTGTAGGAGTGGGGTTTGCCTGCGGCGGCCCTGGGCGATGGCAGCGTCGTACAGCTTGGGGTAGCTGCCGTCCGTGAAGTCGGCGGGCCATGCAAGTCCGACGCTTCCTCCCAGGGAACGTGTTCGACCCCGATGGCGAAATGGCGTCACGTCCAGCGGGTGAGTGAGTCGAAAGCCTCGTAGTAAAGCTTTCGCCTATGCACCCATGCACCCGCCTCGCTGTCCCCTGGCCGAAAAGGCTGGAGCCGAGTCCATGCACGAGGTGCACTAACTTACCGGACTGAGGGGGCCTAATCCCAAAAAGCAATTACGGCTGATAACCGCTCAACAGGGAAAGAAACACAGCGAACCAGAAACCGGGACCCTTATTAACCCCAGTCCGGTTAGTGAGCGCTAACCCTGGTTTGTCTATGGGCATCGTCCTTGAGCCAAACGGGCATTGCCGTCGGCATGGATCAACTTCTATATGCGAACATCATGGGGCCTCAAGCAATAATGCATGCCATTGGGTACCTCTTTGGGGGCCTAGGGGTCGTGAATTCTCAATTGCCCCAAATGCCCACTTGCGGTTTCCACGCTACGAAAGGGCACCTTATTTTGGGGGGGAGTTGATCTTACAGGGAAGCCCCGCAAAAAAAGGAAGAAGTGCACCGCTACAGGCCTGGGGGCAAAGGCAGAAAGCAACTCTGCGATATAACCGGGTACTTTGCTTAGGAACTCGGGTTCTGCCTTGAAAGGAAACCCAACATGCCTATTCTTCTGAACATTTGCATAGCCACAACACCATACTCGTGTGCGTTCTCTTCAAATCCATGTCCGCCCTACCTGTCGCCCGCTGAATTCGCCAAGCTCTTGGCTCGACATGCACCGCGCCCTGCTCGCGGTTGAAGCAAGGCAGTTTAAAAGTCCAGGAACTCATGTCATGATGTTCAAATTCAGCACCCCCCAGCCGCTTTCTCCCATGACCAACACACCTCTTTTCAATGAGTTCCCCCCTCCCCTGGTGCACACCGCACGCTCACGTCACTGCACGTAGCCCGCGCGCGGCCGCGGGGGGCGGCCAGCAGCATTCCCCGGGGGCCGCATGGGGCTGCAACTGCGGGGCCCCGCCTCAGATTCTGCGGGTGGCGGATGACAATGAGGGGGTGGGGGGGTTGGTGGCACCATACAACTGAACTGAGTCACCCAGGGAACATCATGTCATTCTTCAGCATTTTTGCTTGTTCATATCTCAAAGGCTCATCTCGAAACCCGGCCCCTGAGTTCCGACCACAGAGTACCTGTATGTAGGGGAAACTCACCTGGGGCCGAATAGATGTTATACAAAAATGACCAACAGAACTGGACTCCAAATGGGGTATGGCTCGTACGGGGTAAACACAAACATGGCTTCGGCATGCCTTGGTTTTCCTAGCTTCCCAAAACACCAACCTCAAACAAGGGGCTCGCCCCTGTCCCGTGGGTTGGGCTTGGTGGTATGTGTGGCTTCAAATCCCCAATACCCAATCACGTCAGCCTACGTAGATTGCGATGAACCAAGGCTGGTACCTGGATAAATCCAACTTGGATGTCATGCCGAAGGTGGCAAGGCAGGGATGCCTGGATAGTCTATAAGTGGGTTGATCATTACGTGGGTTGAACATCCCAATGCAAGGTCAATATTGGCACTCGTCCAAATACGGGGAAAACCCAAACATGGATAGTCTATATTAAGTGGCAGTACCTGAAAGCGGTGCATCCAAGGAGCCAAGACCTCCTGGGCCTTTCGGCACCTCTGCGCCAGCTGCAAGTTGTGCTGCTCCACCAGCTGCGCCAGGCACGCGCCCTCAGACCAAAAGGGGCGTCGGAATGCGCCAGAAGGTTCCATTGGATTGGAACATCAGCAACAAACAGTTGGGAAAAACCAAAGCATCGGCTTCCTAACATCAGCAAGCAAATTGGTTGCGATCCTTTGGATCTAACTTGTGACATTGCGAACACGGTTGGTTTCTTGTTGGTCAACATTTTGAACCAAAAGGGATGGCCCCAAAACAAACATGCCCACATCGTGGCGAGGTTCCTCTTGGTTTTGGAAAGGAATTTCACAAGCTAGTCCCCCTAGTGGCAGAACAATAGGGGCCATCGACTTTTAGGGCCGCCCTCCTGCTTAAAGGGGCTTCTAACACAAATCAAGGGGCACTAGGGCCCTTTTCAGGGATTCCCCTTCGTGCTCTGAATGATTCCTAAGGGAGGAATCCAAAAACCATCCTGCCATGGGTTCCTCGGAAAGGTCATTTCGGTCCCGCTTAGAAGATCGCTTTTGGAAGTGCATCGCTCCGGCCGGCCGGCACCGAAAGTGAGCGGGCGTACCCACATCACATCATTATAGAACAAATGGGCAACACACGAACGGCAGTTTGGGTCCAAATGCCAGCACGGAACAACTGGCTTCAACACAGTGATCATTTTGATGATGTAAGAGCAAGTGCACATACAAATTGCGACGTGCAATCATTTGCAGGCCAACCCATGCGCAAACGCCCCCCCTCCCCCTCATCGGGACCCTTTTCTCAGACCTCCAGTGGCCACAGCAAACAAAGGGCTCACTGTTCGTGGTAGTTGTTTTTGAAGGGACGCCCCAAAAAGGAAAGCGAGCACCTTTTTCCGGTTGATTTGGAAGGGATCTCCCCCCCTCCGAAGTTTAGACAATTGGAAGCAACCTAAAGGTATGGGTGTGCCAAAAAACTTCCTCGGGATGCTCCTTGCTGGTGCTGTAATCCTCCTGGTTGATGTACCTGCAAGCCGAGCATGCGCCATCGCTTAGTGGCTGGGGGGCTGGTGACCCACCGACCACAAAAACACCACACCGCACCCATGCACCCTTTCACAAACGATCCCCAAGTGAAGAACCTACATCGGCTTCCCTCGATGGCCGGCCTGACACCGTCAAAGGAGTAGCCAGGCGGTGGCCCGCGCTGCCGCAACCTTTGACCCAATGGGTTTGTCCCAGGCACCGAATTGGTTGGCGTAAAACCCACAAGAGAGTCCCCCAAGAAAAGACAGCCCTCAAAAATGCCACGGTCTTTCTACGCTTCCATAGGAATCCATACAGACCCCAATTGACATACTGATGGGGAAAAAACCACAGGCACCAATTGGAGGTGGCTTGTCCCAATTGTAGCTTTTCATCCATCCCAATTGGCGAAATAGATGTTGTCCCCCATTCCAGACTTGGAGCCACCTTGCCATGCCCCAAAGCCGCAAAGCCTGATGGAGACATCAACCGAGACTTGTGCGCTAACTCTGGAAAGTTTAATCTGCATTTTGTTTTTTAAGCCAAGGGACCCTGAAAACCGGGCAGCCTTGTATTTCCCGCTTTCCAACACCACTCGCTTTGAATGCCACCAGGTGATCTCTAAAGACAAAAGTGGAAGTATAGGGACTGGAGAAACCCAACATGGACAACATACATAATTAAAATCACACGTGGAACTCTAGGAAATTCTGTGGAAGACCCTCTGGAAACCCTGACTCAACGGAACCATTCTAAGCCTTTCCTACCAATTTGAACCCTTGCCAAACCTTTTCAGGGGTCTAACATCAGGGGACCAGCCCAAATACAGGAACCGGTGTTTTGACAACTGCTGCGAACCACAACATGTGGAAGTTGATCCCATTCGGTACAACCACAAGTGGCCACAAGTGGATCTCTTAAAAGAGGAACCCAATTACTGGTTTCTCTTCAATTTTCCAAAGGGCACCCACAAAGAAGCCCAAGTGCAGGGAGCTCTCAAGTATTTGGGAAAACCCGCCAAAAGCCCGTGAAAACAAAGACATCTATCAAATACAATGTTCACCCTCAAAGGCGGCTCAATCATGCAACATCTTGCTGATACAGGTAAGTGAAACGCACACGCCTGGCTCAAGCCCAAAGCTTGCGGCCGCGGGGCTGCTCCTGGAGCTCGAGGCGTGCCTCCAGTGGCACGGTCTGCAGATCCCAGGGCCTCTCCTCGAGCGGCTCGCATCGGATTTGTCTGACACGTCCGGATTTGGCTTTGTCGGTTTTTCTTGAGGGAAAGCTTTTTTGGGGGTGGGCTGTTTTAAAAAAGGGGCTTTTGGGGGTCCCCGATGTTGAGACACACCCATGTGTCTGACAATCCGGATATGTTTACTTGCGGTTGAACGGATATCTCTGACCGATGTGCCAACCGTGATTGGAACTGAACAGTTTCCCCGGTCACGGGACACAATGAGAAAGAAACATCCGAATGGACGTGTCTGTTTGACTGCGTAGCTCGGTACTCCTTTTCGGGTTGCCCTAAGCGAAAAAAACTGGAAAACCACGCATTCTGGTGTCCCTTTTGGTGCTTTCCAACTAATACACGGAGGCTTAAATACGCTCCTGAGAAATGCTGTTTGTCCAGGGCAATGGTCCCAACCAGGTGGGGTTTGGTCGAACTCGAAGTTGCAAGAAGCTTTCTCCACCTCTCGGTTTCCCTCTACTTGGTTTGGATTGGTGGTTCGGAGGTTTGGATCCCATTTACCCACAACCAGGGCTTCAAATCCAATTCCAAACCCAAAACCACCAATCCAAGCACCCGCCAAGGGTTTCCTGGCAACCTGCACCTCCCTGCGTTTCGCAGACCGCCTCCGGCACTTGTAGCGCGCACTGCGCCAACTCCCCCGCGCAGAGCTTCTGCAGCACCGACACCTCCGCCGCGTCTGCCGCGAACCAAAACACGGCGCCGGAGGTGCTCGCCAAGGGCTCCTGGCAGAAGAAGGGAGCGAACAACACCACAGGGTAGGGTATCTCTTGGAAAACATTATGTCTAGTCACTCAAACATATACCTTTGTTTTGGGCAGAGCAAACACATTTTGTTTGGCAACTTGCAAGAAACACTTTAAATGGCAATCAACAAAAACAAGTTGTTTGGCAATCAACAAACACTTTCTTCACTCAGGGCTACACTCCCCGGGTCCCAGGCACTTTTTGGGGTTGGGGGTTTCATGGCTCCCTCCACGCCCAAAGTGAGCTGCTCACGGCTTCCATTGCACCCTGGGTTCCTGCCAATGCTGCGGCGCACTCAGCTCACCTCGGGTGCAAGCGAGTCCATCTGGGCAATCTGGGAACGGAGTCAAGTGGCTGTGGGTCAAACATCAAAATAGGTGGCAAATGGATGTTCATCCACCCAAAAATGGAGCCATAGGTTTTGCCCCATGGCCAAATGAGAAAATGAGACCAAATGAAAGATGGGACCAGGGCTTTCCTTTGAAGCTACTACTGTGGCTTGCCCGAGATCTTGGAAAGCGGCTGGGACCTGGGCCCCTTTGGTCGTTCATCACACATCAACCATCCTCTGTCCCACCTGCAACCACGGAGGAAAACATACTAAGCATGAACATAGCAGGCAGACCTCACTTCAGGTTCTTGGGTGTCAAACGCCAAAGCCTCTATTTCGGGCCCGGGCTCGTCTCAAGCCAGGTGCGAACCCCGACCATGAGGTTAAGGAGGACCTTGTCCCAGGTTCTTCGGCATCCGCAAACCTTTTGAAGTGGCAAGGCCCATGTTTCCAATGGAAGTGGACCGGCCTTTCAAGAGGACAGTCTTCCCAAACCCTGGCCCTGGCACCGTCCATTGGAAAGAGTGCAGTTCCAACCTTCCCAATTGCCGTTCTTCTTCGAAGGCGTCGCGTCCATGTGGGACCACCGTCCACTTTCTCGCACCCAACCCGCGCCCCGCCGGCCATCCGTCGAGCCGGGCGCCTCGTGGGGTGAGCAGCAGGCGCTGCTCCTTGGCCTCTGGGCGCTCCCAGAAGGCCGCGGCCGAGGAAGCCCCCGGGGCCTTCACCTCTCGCGCAAAGCGAGCGAGCCCCTGTCTCATGACGGGAACTCCCCCCCAAAGAAAACAAGCTTGTGTTTTGTTGGGCGTCCTTTGGGCTTCGCCGTATGTCCCTTAAACATCACCCCAAGAGGAAAATAATCTCACAGGGAAAGGTGATGTTTTGACAGGCTAAGAAGGAGAGAATGGTCACACAAGTCCCATGTGAGTGTTGACCTCACTGTAATCCGCATTAAACCGGTAGGGAGCGGATTCAGCCACCAATAGCAAACAAAGGCATGACTCTCTGCAACAAAATTAGCGTTGGTTGTTTGCTGGCTTCACTGATCTCTGTGCCAGGTCGGGCACGCTTTAGGAGTCAGAAGCAAATGGGTCTCGCTTTAAATGAGGCACGCCTGAAGCTGTGTCCTTCTGGCTTTGGTTTAAGCACCATCTGAACGGGGATTCCTTATCCAGTGAACACCCAACAGACGAGTCATAACTTAATTAACAATTTCTCTCTGAACCAACCATGCAGGAAATATCCAACCAACCAACCGACCGACCGACCGACCAATCAAGCAAGCAAACAAGCAAACAAGCAAGCAAACAAACACATCCGAACCCCATAAACACACACACACAATCACCCCTGAAGCAACAAGCAGGCCCACAAATTTGCTTTACACAAACCCCCCTTTTAGCACTAATGTCACCAGGGTTCCTCGTGTATCCTTAAAATATCATCCCACAATGAAGCTCATTTTACACTTATCTACCAAGTCACATGCGGAGAACAGACCAAGGGGTATCTCTCGATTCGAAGGCGGACTGCACCCATTCACTGGCCTTCCTTGGAAAACTACCACCTCCATAAAGACCCGTCGCTTGGCGCCTCTACGCAGAAGAGCCCATGCCAGGGCGAGGTCGTCAGTGAGGACCACCTCAGCGTCGGGGGTTTGTGAGTTGTTGGGTGAAACCGGATGGCGCTAGTCTCATTGCCCCCACTGACCGACAGCAAGCGAACATGACATCATCTTTCACCCCTAAGTCAGTGGACCTTCCTTAGCTCACTTCCTGATGGTGTTTTTTGTACGGCCCCGTTAGACTTCACAATAAATGCACTTAAGACTGCCAAAAAAACGAGGCTGAAGCCCAGCAAACATCTATGGATCCATCCTCTATTCAGAGTCGACGGAACATGGGAGTCCCATGGATCACAGCCACTCACCTGTCCCCGCGTTCAGAGTCTGCAGCGTTGAGGATCCCATCCCGGCTAAATGAGACACCCACCAAGCAACGTCAACTATTGGGTTATTGTGGACAAGAGGGGAGGGGGAGGGTTAGTTTGTGGGTAAACAATCACCAATTCCATGTTGACTCCTGGGTTTGGTTCCAACCGTCCCGCGGCCCCAACAATGACTCCATTTTTCACGTCCAAGCCGCGAGCTCGCCGCCTGGAGCTTCTGCTGCAGGCTTCGGCGCAAGAGCTGCAGATCTAGCGCCGCCGTGGGCGACGGCACGAAGATCCGCACCATGTCCCCTGGCGCCCGACTCCGAAAGTCGCCGGGCAGTTGCGCAATCAAGCGGCCAATGGAGGGAAACCAAAACGGAAAGCGCGCGGCACCACAGAGACTACTTTGGGGAGGTTTCGTTCCGCCCGCCCTTTCCCAGCCCCGTGGTTGGAATCGGTATAGGATACAAACGCCAGCTCCCTTCCCGCTGGTTTCCTCCAAATAACACTCGCTAAAGCCTTGGCAGGGTCTAACTTTTGAGAACGCCCGGTCGAAACTTGTTTACTTCAAAGAGGCGTGCCGTGGTTTTTGGCGTCGCCGAAAGTGGCAGCCCGACAAGCACAACCATGATAAAACTTCAAACGAAATCAATCTGAATGCATGCTCGGTTTCGCGCTGCATTTGACCAGCACGGTTGTTCTTCCACAAAAGCCACGGCCAATATTGATTGAGTTCTCCCAACTGGCACTCGATTGCAAGCCACCCCAATTGCCTACAAACATTTTGGCGAGTGTGCCTCATGCATCCCTTTACTACACTGCATGGCAGCAAGTATTGACCGTTGCTCACACGAGAGATCGAATACATACGGCCACAAACTAGAGGAATGCCCAATCCCAATACCTAACAATCCGCAAACCGGATGAAAACTAGGACGCCTACCCAAATCCGATACCCTCGCAATTGTGCCGCGGGCCGATTTCTTCGAAACAAGTACTTGTACTCGAGCAACAGCCCCCACCTCAGGCACTTTTTTGGCTAAGCTACAGAAGAAGGCCAATCCGACTCATGCATGCAGGGCACGCCACTCTTCCAGGGGCCAGCCAAGCTCTTGCAAGGACACATCATCTACAGCCCCAAGACTTCCCTGCGGGCTTCTACGCGGCGGCATCCAACTACATGCACCCATAGCCCATGGCAGCTGAATTGCCCGGCACAAGAAAAAGTCTAAGCTTGCACTCTTCCATCCTGGGTCTTGTGGATCAGCGATAGCGACAAAAGAGTTTGCTTCATCTATGCTAGCTTCGGCAGCTGCACGCTTTACGCGTGCTGAGTTTATTTACGCGCCGGTGGCACGTGAGCCTGGTCAAACAAACAGCCAAGCCACCACATCTTCAAGCGCTCGCTCGCCCGCTGCTTCACTCCTCACAAAATACTGTAGCAAGGCAGCCCCAAACCTGTCCGATGGGGAACAACCATCCATTTTCTGGGAAGTCTCCTTCTGGGTGGCCCACTCACATCCAGGCCAGGCGGGCCTGGCTTGGCCACTGGCAGGACCGGGGAGGTGTTCTCTGTGCCAAGAGCTTCCAGCAGCTGCGAGGTCAAAGGCCGCAAGAAGACCTGGCGTCAGGGGTTGTACCAGGCGTGCCGGTACAGCCAGGGGTAACTAACCTGGCATAGTCCTCTTACAATCATGGCTTTTAAGTTTTAACATGATTTACCTTTTTAAATACTTTAACACCAAGTAGAGGGGTGCGTGTTGAGGGTTTCAGGTTTGAGGCTGGTTGAGGAAACTAAAGGACACCACCCCATAGGATTTCCCCATCTGGAGACAAACCCTAGATGAAAGTTTCGCAAAATGGACAACATGGTAAACGCGCTTTGGAGGCGGTCCCCATTGACATGCGCAGCCATTTCTGAAAATTGACTGCTTCCCAACATGGTGCTTCGAGCCCTTTTGGTTGGTACTTGAAGGGACACAAAAGTAACAAAAGGTGATGTGTAGAATGGCAAAGGCAGAATTCACGTGCCAAGTTTGAACCCCCAGCTCGAGACTCCACCCAAGTTAGACAGTGGGCACCAACGTGGGCTGACTCAAAACATGCTTAACTCCACTTAGGGAGACTCATAGTTGAGTAAAGGCAGAAGTAATTCGCTCAGTCGACATTCAAGTAGCGGACCCTCAAGCAGGTGCCGGTGACCAACGACACTGCAGATTCAGCAAGTTACAGTCCTGGCTACAGTTGGGTGATGGTTGATTTGCATAACTCGTCGCCCATGTTGTCAGGTTTCAAAGTCTCCAGGCCACGATCTGCTTCCCGATTGGAAGTCAATAAGCGTGTAGCTTGTTTGTTTTGCGGCTTGCCCGATGTTTGGACGCAACCACAAGAAATCCATGGAAATCCAAAGAAACAACTTGTTGCGTTCCTTACAAGCGTCAGTACAAGGGTCATTGCAAGGGTCGTTTGGGGTGGTAGACTGTAGACTGGACAACAGTGGACGGGCAAACAAACCAACGGGTCAAGGAAGCAGTTTCCAGCAAACACCGAAAAAGGGATGTGACATGGAAGCACAAAACAGGTCCGGCCATAAAAAAGGAACCATTGAACCCCTCAGTAAGGAACCTTCATCATGAGTAAAGGTTAGACTACCCGATCGGTGAGCTCGTTGGCATTGGTTCAGAAAGATGTTGCTTTATTGGTTTTACAGGGAGGCAGCCATTTGGGGAGTTCCTGCCTGGTTTCTAGGTTCATAGGTTTCCTATGCTTCTCAGGGGCCACGAATCGTGGAAACACTACGTGACCCTCGCCAAAACCTCGCCAAAAGGACACACATGTATAAATTGCCGAAAAGGTGATGTTTCATCCAGGCCAAGGGAGATATGCAAATACCCGCAAGGCTTGGTCTCATAGGCGCGGTAGCACAGTAGCATCAACATGTCCGGAGTTGTTGTACGCTCCGAAGGGTGTAAATGGGAGGAGTTCGTCTTATATACAGATGGGAAGCCGTGTGTCGAGGGGTGACCCTGGAGCACTTCGACTCATGCCAGAAGTCAGCCCAGCCCAGAAAGGAATGCAACCCAAGGAAACCATCATGAAAGACCTGGCGAAATTCCTTTGACCTACTGTTGTACTTGGTTGGATTCAAGGTCAAACAAGGACTAGCTTGGGGCAAGTAGGTGTGCGTTCAAATTAGGAAACCCAAAACATAGTATTCCCGCTAGGTTTCCCTTCAAACAAGCCAAAAAGAGTACCCCCACACGAAGGCTAACATATATACACATTCCCTTTGGACAAAGGACCCTGCCATGAAAATTGGCAAAGACTGCCGGTTGCCTGGACACCAGCGCGGGCGGATTGTAGCTCCTTCATCAATAAGGCACCTGAGATATTGACGCGAAGTGGAGCGAAGGGCTTCTTAACGGGGTGGACATACAGTTGGATGAGCGTGAAAGGCTTCATCCCCTCGTTTACTGACCGCCTAAGGGTCCTTTCTTAGGTCTAAGCAAATTATCACGAGCTCACTGATCCAAGTCCCTTTCTTGGGGGTTCCTTGTTTCTGCGTTGACCGCTCCCCGCCTCCGCGGACCGAAATGCACCACGTCCCTTAGAGAAGGACCAAACATTGCGGTTTTATGTTCAACTAAATTAAATGGCTACAATTTTACTGGTTGGTGGACATAGGTGATGCTCACCAAAGGATCCTCAACGATAAAAGGATAGAAACACAGCCAAACTGGTTCATTGTTTGTGTGGGAGCTGATATGGTGCTGGTGGTTGACTTGGCTGTGAAAGAAGGGGGTGATGAGACCCCATGTCCCTCAAATTCCACAAAACGTTGCAGTGAAGAGGGGACGGGTTGTTCGTTTCAGGTGTCATTGGGAAAGCACTAGTTCCCAACAAAACTAGAAGTCCTCAGCACGTTTTTCAGGGACCCTACGCACGCTATGATTTTTGGGGCAAACGAGGCATGAACAAGCCAAGACTGGTTGTGCTTCTTTGGATGCTCGACCCTCTCATTAAGTAGGCTCAGCCATGAGCAAAATTGGGCTAAATTGAAGAGGGGCTAGTTTCCTTATAACCATGGTTGCACTTTGCTTGCAATGAGGGGGTTCCTAGTTTGCACTCACAGCCCATGTGCATACAAGTCAGAGACGTATCCCAAGCGCTTCACGCATGGCATATTTTACGCAGATGCTTCCTCCAGATGGGTCACTGTTGGCATATATTTCCTACATGCAGTGTATGTGTGTGTGTGTGTGTGGGTATGCTGCTTTGTTGGTTGCGGTTTCGCAGCAGGACTTCATAGAACATATGGCGTCAGCATCATTCCGAAACCTGGTTGCCAACAAGTCGATCGAAACTCAGAACCTGAAGTGGTATGTGTCAAAAATCAAAAGCCAAACAAATAGATAGTGATTTTGTTCGGCTTTCGGTTTCCCTCACCATGGTTTAGCGTAGCGAGCCTCAACAAAGGCACACACCCCAATATGAGTCAAATTGGGCAGACTTGGCCCAAGAAGTCCCAAAATGGTCTGTTAGGCAAGCAGGTTATAAGCATGGCAACTGGGGCTGGGTTTGGTTTCCTATGGATTGAAACCCGATCCGGACTATATTTGTTTGACCGCCCTCGTAATGATCTCCCGGGGGTCGCATTAAGGCAAGGCTCTCACAGAGCAGCTTCAAAAAATGAGCCTTATGTTTGGACCCGAAGGCCTTATGGTTTGTTGAAAGTTGTGAAAAGGGGCCCCTGACTCTGCAGCAATCCAAGACGAGCTCAACCGGGAGTGGAACCAGCTGACCCTGTATCAATCTTAGGGATTCTCAATTCAAGGTTGTGAGTTACAATGCAATTCCAGGAACCGCTCAACAACTGTTTGAGCATGCCACGGCACCCTTATGGAACGAATTCTGATGAGAGGGGTGGGGTGTGCTTCAAAGGTATGTTGTGCTTTTGGAATACATACAGCAAACGTAGGTGGCGCAAATCCCTTTGTGCCAGTAACCGGAACTTGGCTAGGTTGCTAACAACCCCCACTTAACTCCATATTATTTTTGCTGTAAACCCTTGTCAACTCGAGTTAGGCATTTAGCTCATCCAAGCACTGCGTCTGCGTCCCAGTGGCTCGTCTTGTGGTCGGTTTTACAGGCTTGCCCCGCTCCGAAAGAAAAAAAACGCTGGAGTAACGGGCTCGCAACCCACAAACCCATGACTTGCTCAGCTCCCAAGGCACTGAGGGAGCGATGCTCCTGCGAGCGAAAGCGTGGCTTTCCCATCGCCGTCGGTTGACCGCTATCCTAGTGGATGGCACCTGTATAGCAGGGAACCAAGGGAACCACCCCCCCCCCACAACAAAAAAAAAAACATCAAAGGAAAAGGGCTGGTTACCCACTGCAGGAGTCGCACTATGGGATCCGCCTGGTTTGGGGTTGGCGCGGGTTCTGGCTGCAAGGTCCGGACATGGCTGCCATCTGCCCAGAGGACCGGGAAAAGCAACTTAACAATTCGGTGACACATAGGACAAACAATAAGCAGATTAACAATGGGAACATGGAAAATAACATCCAGATGAAATCAATAGACACAGAAAACAACATGCTCCGATTCTGTTTCACATCTAGTCTAGGCTAGAATATAGAAAAGTGCTGGAGGAACCCAGGTAACTTGTTGCGAACAAGTATGAAGTCCAGGAACCCCAGATCCCCAGTGGCCATGGGATAGTTGTGGAATATAAGGAGCAAAATAATTGAATTAAGGTGTTGACACATAAACCCAGTTTGTTCATGAGTCTAGGAGTAAACTGGCAGTTGTTCAGGCCCTTTTGTTAATCGCCTTACCACTAGTGTGGAGGTATACTAATCAGGGCAGGGTCCCTTGAAGCAAAAAGCAACATTTCTTTAGGGGTTCCCCCCAGCTAGTAGGGTCCTCCGGATGAATCCCAAGCTAAGCATCGTGGTTTTGCTTGGTGACCGCCGGTGCCTTCCCCGGCCATGGCTCCTGGCTGCGCACTGCCACGGCCTGCGCCGTCTGCAGCGCCGCGCGGCGCCGCACCAGGCGCCGCAGCAAGGCGTCGCCGGCGACGGCGGCGTCCAAGACACACAAAGTCCAGGGCTGCAGCGCCTGGCGTCTTTCCGACTTGTCTGAAAAGCCGAGAAAGGGGACTTTCACGTTGATTTGGTCTGACAGACCTTCAGCCTGCTTGAAGGGGGAAAGTCTGACACGGCAACTTTTCGGTGGGCGACCAACTTCTGGATATTCCTTTAGGTTGCTATGATTGTTCCTCCCCAAATTGACGTGGAGCCCCAAAAAGCGGTACACCACAAAAGGAGATTCCCCCCAAAATGATGGTTTGTTTCTGAAATTCCATGCGAATTTGCCGAACAAACCCTTTGACGGCTTTTGGGGTTACATGGTGGCAGGAGAACAATTTGCCCATTGCTGGGTTTACCCCAGTCATCGGGTAAGTTTGGTTCAAGCAAGGGACCAAGGGCCTAGCGGTGGAGGCCTCGGGTGTCTTTGGGGATTGTTTCTTTTTTTTGAAACAGGACCCGGTTCCCATTTCCGGTCAAAGTGTCTTTACAAACTCAAACACTAGGGGTGAAGCTCATCTTTGAGGTTGGAGTCCGAAAGTGGCCATAGGCAAGCCCAAGGGTCGAACTGGCAGGATCACTACGAAACTTTTCGCACAAGGCCATTAATTGAAAAGATCACATTGAGTGCGCCGCAAATTCCAAATTGCAAAGGGTCCCAGCAACGCTGAACTGAGGGTGCTTGAAAAAGCTCGGGGTTCAAATAGCTACCACATAAAGGGAAACAGGTACAGGGCACAATGCTTCCCACAATTCAGGCAAAACAAAACACTGCCCGAAACCACAGGAAAAGCTGACGGGGGTGGCGACACTTGTCTCAATATGTGTTGCTCCCCTGAAATTTGGCAGGTATGTGTAAATAACTCCATGGTTCGCAACTTTCCATGGACCTTCCGCGGGGATGGTCTTAGGGGGGATGCTCATCACAAGGCGTCAACTAGCAAGTCCATGCACCCCAAAACATACTCCAACCCTTCAGGAGTCATCCATGTTATTAGGTGGGAGGGCAGTCAAGGGGTACTGACCAAAAGAAGCAAATGCAAGATATCAACCCTAGCATCTTTTTTGGGGGACCCCCCCCCAGACAAAACAAAAAGGTGGTGTTCTTCCTGGTTTGCCTTGAGGAGCCCGAAAAAAAGGGGGTACCCTCGACAGCGGACAAGCCCATATGACCTTGTTGCCATGAGTATATATTGGGAGGCGCCCAACTGGAGATTTCACAAACGAACACAGCCACATGCGCCAAAACATCGCCTTCTGATTCTATCAACCCCACTTTCCATCCGGCTTGGTATGGAAGCTCCCTACCAAAATTGTACAGAATCCAAACAAACGAGAAACCTAAAAACATGCCAACAACCGTGAAGCAAGCCGGAGGCCCGGACGTTTCTGGGCGCACACTACCTGACCTGCGAATTGCGTGCCTCCCAACTGGCCCAACCCCTCCGCTGCATTTCATGGGTACGTGCACCGACGACACATTACGTAGAGGTAGGGATCATTTACAACGCATGTTCATGCTTTGCCAAATGTGTAAGCCATCTTGGTAGAATGCAACATGAGACCAAACTCTTCTCTGTGTCCGCTCGTGGAAAGTTATATTTACTGCAAGATAGCCCTTTGTGGCGCCCCAGACTTATTGCTTGTTCAATTGACAGGGTTGGCAGACAGCAGGAAGCCTCAATTCGCACTGGGCAAGTTCAACCCAAAGGAACCTTCACGGGGCGTGAGTTCGCGGCTCGCACGAAAGGCGCCGAAATACATAGCCGGATTTTTAGGGTAACTTGAAAGGGGATCTTTGAAAGGCATCCTTCACTCGAGGCCCCTTCAGTAGTGGGGAAAGATAAAAAAGAGTTCCCTTCTTTTGTTGATGTTCCAAGTGAAGCTGAACGAAAGGCAAACTGGGCAACGCAGGACTGGGCAACCCCCCAGTGTCGGGTTCCACATGGCCTGAAGTTCCTGTGGATCTCGCATCACGTCGCACAGCACTAGCCACTCCTGCGAGCAACTGAAGGTGGACGTGCATTTGGAGGGGTTCTTAAAATATAGCGAGGTCCGGTTCCCTCGAAAACCCACCACATGCACATATTGGAGGGTTCTGAAAGATACATTTGGGATGGTATAAAACAGCAAAACAACATGAAATTATCAAACACCACATTGGTTGGTGTTCTTAAACATTGTCTTGGGACCCGGTGGCAGTTTAAAGCACCACGTAGAGGGTGTGCGCTCCCGTTAGTGGACCTGGAAAATTCCCGCCGTATGGTCATGGTCCATGCGGGACTCGCTCCAAGACACCACCCGAAACCATCAGACCACCCACCGCCATGTCCCGTTCTCCAAACTTCTGCATGGTTTGGCTTGGGCCGTATTCCCTGCGGACTTGCTTTACTGTGGGAAGTTTTGAAGGGTGCTGGTTCCAAGGGCAAGCGTTGATCCTACCAGTCCAAACATTATTGGCGCAGCCTTTGAAGGTCAAAGGGTGAGAAACAAGGAGCACCAATGGTCCAGTCTTTGGTGAGGAAATTCACTCCTTGCACAAAGAAGGGATGCAGAACAAAGGAAACCTTAAAGACGATGCCCCCAAAAAGGAGACACTGGGGCACCCCTTAAAATGGAATGCCCCCTAAACAAAACAAGACACGCCTTCAGGTTGCGTGTAAAACCCACCAAAGGCGGCATTGATCAAAAACACATGAAGCCTTCCCCCCCAAAAAAAAGACACACAAACAAACAGCCGTTCTGACTCGTTCCAAATCAGGCCGTCGAACTGCGCAGGAACCTGCCCTGCCGCCCAAACCCATCGGCTTGACCTGGTGTTGCTCTGGAAACATGCCTCCCCAAAACAAGGAATGGAACGAGCTCCCCTGAATCTCTGTGCCTTGCCTGGAGGGTGCCTCCCTTTAAATTTGAGTCACAAAGAGAACACCGGGCCCCGACACCAGGTTGCTGCGCTCACTTCCTGTCGCCAAAACGTAAATGGCCAAACTGACCAAAGCCCAAAAACTCAGGAATTGAGTTGGGGCTTCCACGACAAGCGGGCCCAACCCTGGGATACACCAAAAACCATCCCCTCAGCTTCTGATTCATATATGCCTTTCACAGGTTAATCTCAAGGGGAAACCAAAAGAAAGCTAACGTCATTTTTCGGGTCCAAATCCAAATTTAGCCCTTCCCAAACTTATGTCTGCCCTAAAATGGCAAAACCCGAGACAGTGAGGCCCCCACCGACCCGTGAAACCGCGAAGAGCTTCCGCCCGCACCTCGCCTGATCGGTTTGGGCCAGCCCCGGCAGTTCCGCTAAGTTCTCGAAGCGGTGGCCGTCCACGACGGGCCCGGAGCGCAGAGACATGGCCAAGGATTTGGCCACGTCCTCGAAGCCATGGCCAGGTTCTGACGCATTTTACATGGTCTTACATGCGCTTTGCCAGGTCTTAAATGGGACTGGGAAGAGTTCGATAGTCGAATCCAAATCTGGCCATGGTTTCTGAAGGTTGGGAATTCAGTTCCCCTTCAAGCGCCCGAGCAACACAGGTTGTGAATTTTAACCAAGCACAAACTCTTCTGATGCCATGAGTCTTCCCAGCCTGCATATATGTTTGTTTTAAACAAAACAAACTACCCAACTGGCAGGCCTCCAATGTTTCCACAAAGTTGCAACTGATCAGGTTAGGACTACTTGCGGGGTTGCTCCAAAGACCTCCTCTGAGGCGCGCTGGGGATGGGAGCCACAATTGTTAGTGGGCAAGCTCAAGGGATGATGGGTGCCATTAAACTGTCCATGGCAAAGCACGGCACCTTTTGTTGCTTGACAAAGGGAAACCCATCCCAAAATAGAACTGGGCAGCGCTGGAGGTCGGGAATTTTCAACGAGACCTAAAAAGGACACCTACGCTCTTACCTAATTTCCACGGGCTCTCGCCCCCGCAACAAGAAGCTGTGGAAAACACCAATTCCCACCGGAGTTTTTCTATTGTTGAACCCATATTAATCCACCCCAATTTATTCATAGGGGGTGTTCCCCTAAAGTGATGATTCCCCACTGAACCCAGGGTCACCCCCGCATTCATAAACTGGGGTTGATTGGTAGGGGGGTTCAACTGGGTCCTCCAGTAGAGAGGTTAGAATAAGGGTACCCTTTTTTCTGTAGTCTACTGTAGCAGCAAAACCCTCCCCAAAAAGAAACGGTAAAAGGGCACCTAGCTGGGGGACCTGCTGTGGATGGACGAAATCCTGCACCACCTAAGAAACTCTGGTTTCTGATGATTCCCTTGTAAACACCAACAAACAATGGTTTCCCATGCTTTCAACGTGGTGCAGGATTTCGTCCATCCACAGTAGTCAAAATTAGGTGGGCGGCAACCGGATGCTTCGAAGGCTTCCGAGGCGCCATGGCGCCGCACCCTGGGAGCCCGGTGACCAGCACCAGCTTCGGGGCGCTGTGCAGCGCCGGCGCCGGGCTGGGCACGAGGCCACCTGCATTGTCAGGGAGGAAACATGACAAAACACGTAGTTGAAGTGTGTGTATATATATATATATATAGTGTGTGTGTACATATATATAAATATATACATATATATATATATATATGTTGAAACATATTTGTTGCTCTTTGGGGGGCCGGATCATAACAGACATGCAGTACAAACATACAGAAATCTGGACATGGTAGATTGAGCAGCTGGTTCATGACCCCTTTTTGCGTTTTCCGGGGGGGGGGGTTGTTAAGATGAACGCAGTATATTTCCTGTTCGGAGCCCAAAAGGCTATAAACCGTGTTGGATTAAAGGTCCAACCATAGTTCCGTGGCTCTAACAGGAGAGTTCTCAGTATGTCCATCTTTGGCGGATGCGTGATCACCTGTTGGAGATCTGGCCTGTAATCATGCCGAGTCAATCCCTAAGCAGGACAAAGGGAACACAAACTGGTTTCTGATTTTTAACCTACAGTCAAACCACCCCAGTGGAAAGGCTATGTTGAAATGAGTTTCCTTGCAAAAGGTTCAAGTGGGACATAGTGGGACACATGAATACAACCAGAAACCGTACTGGGACTCCTCAATACCGACAGCAACCCTCAAACCCATGTGGGCATGCCGGCTAAAAACCCCGGAACTGGACGGCACATAGACAGGAAACCCACATCCCTCACCCCAATGCCTAGGGTTTCCGAGCTCTGAGGACCTCTGGCAAGGTTTCTGGTTGTCAAAGCCAGCTGTTGTTTCGCTTTCCACCCGCCACCTGGGAAACTTGGGCGACTTTGATGGCAAAATCATGGATTCCATGGGGCCAGTGCTCGCCAACATCGTCCCTCAGACTCCACCAGGGCACAAAGGCTCGACACGGAGGGCTCCATGGTCTCGATCTTCGCGGGTTGCAGCCAGGAGAGGTCGGCTTCTCCTTCCGGAAAGGAGAAACAAAAACCGGAGGAAGAACCAAGACACAAACCCCATGGAAAAAGGGGGCCATCTGCTTGGGCAGCTGATTTGAAAGGGGGAAGCCCCTCCAAGGTAAGCAGAGAACGACTGGCAGTCTGGGGCAGGAATCAAGTTGCATCAGTTTAACGATTTGTGACGAAGACGTTGGCCAAACTAAACCTTCTGCAGTGTGTCCGAACGAAAAAGCGGTCTCGACCCGCGGGACAGCTTTCCTCGGACAAAAGGCTTTTGCAAAGACACGATTCTTTTCAAGCGATTGGACTGACTGTGTGGATGAGCCAGGTTTCACAGGCATCGGAAGTTGGCTGCTAAACAGGGGGTCTGGAAAAATAAAAACCAATACCGGTGTTCCTTTTGGCCTCTTTTGGACAAAGGGACCGTTTGGCTTTTTTGGGGTGGAGGCTTCGTTGTGTGGTTGTAAAGGGTAGGCTTCGTTGTGTGGTTTTAAAGGCAAGCCAAAAGCAACATTTTGGGAGTCCCCAGTCCCCTTAAAAAGAAACATTCAATTCTTTGGCACCCAGACCAGAGGCAAACTCGATTGCAGCTTTTTCTCTCCTTGCTCCAGCTGTCTCCAGGCCGACAGGCAGCTGGGGCTCACACTTAGGGCCAGCTGCAAGGGCCTAGCTGCGACTCTACACTGGGGTGTGCGATCCTCAGGAGTCGCATCTTGTGAATGGAAATCGAAGGGAAAACCTGAGGCCCATTTTTAAGGCCCTATCTTGACACATACTCCAAATGCGGGTCTGATTTGTTTAAGACAGCTACCCAGCACTTTTCGGTCTTTGGGGTGACCGAAATGGGTAGGCTCCCTTCAGTTTGTCTTTCAAATTCACCCCAAAAAGGGTACCGAGCCTCAGCAAAAGCCACGCTCTTGCGGAGGTAGGACAATCAGGGAGCCTCCTTGGTTTCGGGGCAAATTGACCACAGAAGAAGGGAACCTCATGGACGCTTCTGACAGGATTCACCTGGTACCTTTGAAGGGAAGCGAGTGCGTCGCAAAGAAGGGAGGCCCTCAAAGGGTGGTTTTCTTTGAGTCTCCTTCCCGCAGGAGTATCTCGCGAAGAAGCACAAATGCCTCAAATGGCTGGCTCATGGCTGTGGACAATGGCTGCCCCCCTTCTTCTGCGATACCAAGGCTGTTGATTCCCTGACTACTGAACATCACTTCAATCTCCCTGGGATTACACAAAGTAGCACCCCCAGGCCGACAATTTCCACATGCCTTGGAAAGCAAAGGGACACCTCGATTTGTCTGGGCAGCTGCTACTGCTGACGGAGGAAATCCTGCAGCGCTTTACTATGGTTTGCAAAAACACCCTCGCGCACCCCATTTAACATTGGAAGCTTAAGGGAGCTCACAGACTATTCCAGGCTTTGGAATTTGCATATGTGTGCTTTGCCTTTGTTGGTTGAAAGGGAAACCTATAACCCATACACACAAACTCTTAGTTGTCCAAAGGGAATCGTCTGCTTAACCCTGTGGGTGTCTCTTTTAACTTTTTGGCAACCAATTATAGTGAATGTCCCTAAGAGGCTTGATTTGGTGCTGTCTTGAGGTTGGCTTTTAGGGAAACCGTAAAAGGAACGCCAAAGCCAATGCCGAGAATCAAAAATATATATCTTTTGACACATACGCATACGGTACTCTGGAGAGTCTTTCCCCTTGACATAACTATCAAAAGAAGGGTGCCTTTGTTCCCATGACCACCTGGGAAAATACGGGAACTAGAAGAACGCGGAGGACACGCTCAACATTCCGAAGGGATATATGTGGACATGTTCTGTCGAAATGTGGATGCGTGTTGGGAAACATGTGGAAACACATGAACCAATGCGGACACATGTTCACATATAGAAACAAGTGATGTGGACACTTCTGAAAACGTTAATAAAGAAGCAATGGGTTTTCTCGAAGATGTGGTGCTTATTTGGTGAGCCCGTGGAAGGCCGGGCGAATGTGGAAAGCTCAAGTTCGGAATTCGAATAGGTGCTGACCTGTGGAACGACCCAGAGCCCAGTGGATGGATTTACGGGTAATTGGGATGTCGGGGTATGTGACCTCTCCGATTCGGAAGAGACTCCTTGCCCAGGAGGAAAGTTTGTCAAAAGGGTCCGTGTGGTTTTTCATTTTTGTGGGGCACAGTCTCCCTTTCATTAGTTTAGTTTGGGTCCGAATCTGGAGACAGAATTTGTGTTTCGACAATCTGAACTCGTCCGACCTCCTTCAAAGCTTTCCGAGCTGACTCATACGGTTGACGGATGAAATCCTGTACCGCCTCTCCCAACTCCAAATTTGCAACTGAACAGGCCGGGAACCCCTCTCCCCCTTTGCAATGTTGTTGGCATTCACAAAAGGTGGTGCAGGATTGGGTCCTTTCAACATGTTTGGAGCCCTAAACTAGGCAGATATATGTCTCCTGCCTTTTCGGCAGACCATTTTCCGGCCCCCGCTTCGATCCCGGCCATGCCAACCGATCCCGGCGGCCCGCAGCTGAGCTCTAGCTCCATGGCCACCCAAAGCTGGCCGTCCGGGGCCTGCCAGTTGATCCGTCGGTCGACCCGTCGGGCCGGTGCCCTAGTGGCATGTGTCCCCAATCTGAGTGGATCCATTCCTGCACACCCCGTTTGCAGGCAGTAGCTTCCAGTACATTTGCCATGGAGTGGTGGGATTTGTGTGTTTTGAGGCTCGGTACCAATTTCACACCTTAGTTGAAGGGACAAACAAGGAAACCTCCAGTTCGGGGGTCCAACCCCCTATTTTGATACACACCCATGTCTATCGCCTCACGAGAATCTGCTTTTCCCACCCTAGCCATTCGGGTTGCCCGCTAAATCCACCTACCAGACAGGCAACCAAGGGAACCACCCTCCAAAAACAGAAAGGTGGTAACAACGAAAGATTCTCTGCTGTAGGTTGACCCACTTGGTTGGGCAAGCCCCGTATAGTCTTCCCAACAACAGCTCAACATTGCTTCAGTTAGGCAATGCGCAGAATGAAATTCTAGTTGGATCCGAGTAGAGCATTCTGCGAAAAGACCTCCAGTTGCTAGAAGAAAGAAAAACAACCCTTTTGGGATTGGGCTCAAAGGGGAAAAACACAAGTTGCTGAACAAGGGACTCCACTAAAGGGGTCAACTGAAGTGACATCCTCAGATCTAGGTGATTTAAAGGGATTGTGAGTGCCTCGCAGCATGTTCAAAATCGAGGTACCCCAAGAAATGTGCGTTTGTTTGGTATCCTTAAACATAGCAGCTGTAGGAGGCGCCGTGTTTATGGGAGGCACAGCTTGAAAAGACTCCAAAAGCACACACCCACAATTGGTACCCCCAAGACCCATGTTGCCTAAGAATCACGCCTCCAGCGTGTGCCGGGCGTCTCTGAGGCTCAGTAGGAGGTACTGGAAGCGAGGCCCGAAAATCACCGCCTTGCCTGGAGCAACTGGGAAGCGCCGGTCTTGGCCCACATCAAACGACTAATGTCCGCCATGTTCGGGGTTCCCTACTCAAACTCATAGCCATTTAGCACCAAGTCTTCGTGCATCTGGAGTACACCCAAAACATATTTTTCAGATGTTCCATACTTAGAATACACCAACATATCAATCCTTTTGAAGCGCCAGTGATCAGGGGGAAAGTGATCACGGGGAAAACAAAGGCACTTGTGTGTCGCTGATTTTCACGGAAACCCCGTTCCAAAGGAAAGAATGCCACTCGGCTGAAGGCTATGCCCATTTGAGCTGAACGCAAAGAGGAAGGCTAGATTTGACAATACCAATTCTCAGTGGTTCCTTTTGGGGAAGGGGACTCCCCCAGCTTTTGGGATGTCTAGCATCAAATCGTGTGGCGCCTCAGCCCCTTTCAATCAAACAATAACATAAACGGTGTTCGGCCAACTTAAGAACCGCCTTTGCAAGCTGCTCCAAGGTTTCTAGATGCATCAAGGCACCCTGATTTTACCCGTCCTGGTGTGAATTTAAAGTGGAGAATGTCGGGTGGACATCATTTAGGTTGGGATTCAGGCCCACCAACTGCTGTTGAACTGTTTCCCCATTAAAACACATGGCCATAAAAGGCTTCAAATAAAGATCATGGAGATGTCGGATACTTAGCCAAACTTAATCATGATTCTACTGGTGAACCTCGAGTTATCATTCAGCCCTTCCACCCATGTTGCCCTTGAACCCGTCCCTTTCAAAGGAAGACTGCGTAAACTGGAGCCTCCAAACAGTTCCAGTGGCTCGGACGGCACCTGGGAGTCCCCCTGCGTCCCTCCCAAGATCACCCTTGATTTTTGGTAGAAGGGGGGGGGGAAGATATTCCCTCTTTTGAAACAGATTGCCTTTTTGAACCCCACCCCCGCCCCCTGGCCAGTTTCGCTCCAAGTACCTGGAAATAAGAGGCTCACCGTTTGGGATCTGTGAACCAAAAAGGGAAACCTCCGTTGCCCAAAGCCACAAATAAGAAAGGCGGTCACCTTATTCGGGCCACTAAAACTGGGCCAAACAGGCAAAACCAACAAGGGAAACAAACTCCCCCCCCCCCCCCAAACAGCCACCAAAACGCCACAAACACACATGGACAAAAAACACGGGCCACAAACGGAACAGGTCCGGCTTCCCGCCTGAGCCGTAGGTCCAGGCCCTGCAGGCGGCCAGGCCCAGCAGCCCATCGAGCCCCACGGCGACGTGGCAGCTCACCTCCACGTCCAAGGGATCCTGGTGATTCGGTGGATGTCTGATGTCTGAATTGGAAAGACTGCGTGTTCCCTGGTTTCCCCTTGAAGCAAACCCCAACCTACCCGCAAACGACTGTTCTAATATACATTATATATATATATATATATTAATATATAGATGTATGTATATATGCTACCCCCCTCATGGACCTAGGTTCAGGTTTCGAAATTAAATTCTAGCTCGGTCCTGAAGTAGCAACCGTCTTTTTCAACTCCATGCAGTTTCTAATCAAACAACATGTCACCCCAACTTCAAGCAGTTCCTAATCAAACAGCTTGAATGTCACATATTTTCCCACTACACATGTACTAGGCAAAAGTACACTTTGGCTGCTCCAGCTCAAACATGCAACTTTTCAGCACACAAGAGAGGTACCTGAAGTGCACATTGGCAGCTTCTTCGTGATTGCAACAGCTCTGCTAGCTGTGCTCAAGTTGTTGATTCGCTTGGAAACTCGGCAAACCATCCACTTGGGGAAAGGAAATCATTCAAATTGCTGCTTGCAAAGCAGTTCCTATCAACATTCGGTGGTGCTGGTCTCATTCGATTCAATCATTGTCAATAACATGTAAAGAGAATCAACCACAGGAAGGATTCTCCAATTTGAAGCGACTTTTGTGTCACCAGATTAAACATTACTCGGTCGCAGTTCCTCGTGCATTTCGATCAAACAACTGGTGGAAAATCAACTACTATCATTGCTAGTTCAAGCTGGCATCAGGTTCAAATTCAATCTAATTCCATAAAATTAACCAAGCAAGAACTAAGCCAAGTCAATAACAGAGAAGTGTCTATAAACGTGGATCAGCTTCTTGGCACAACATGCTGTAAAACGCGGTGTTTTCAGCAGTTGCTCAGATCGTGTTCCCCTGGATGAGGACCCCCAACGCAGACCCAGGCTTCTGAATTACGGACAATACTTTCCAACAAAAGAAACCCCGATTTTTAAACAGAGTCCAACAGTAGTCCCTGATTTCTTTCAGCCCCTTGAATATGTAGCGCTCAGGTTGTTTACCACAAAATTGCATGTAAACTGGTAAGTAAACATCCTCAATGTGATGCTTGGAAAATGCACTCTGTGTCTGCCTTTTCGGAATCTTCAAATCCATACTTGGAAACCAGGAGTATTGGGACAGCCCTGGTTGCTTCCCGTTCTTCTGTGTTTGATCGGGATTCATCATTCAAGATTCCCAAAAATAATGTTCTCAGATTATTGAATCCCGATTTGCTTAAAACAAATGAACATTCTAGTGTGCCCCAATAATAACAATAACAATAATAATAATAATAACAATAATAATAATAATAACAATAACAATAACAATAACAATAATAATAATAATAATAATAATAATAATAATAATAATAAATAATAATAATAATAATTAGTAAACATAATAATAGTAATAGCCATAATAATAAGACAAACAATATTAAATGGTACTGAACATAATAATAATACTCCTGAGATGCATGCAGACACCTGGCAAATGCCTACCCCTCGGTCTGGAGGCTACCAGGCCTTGACTCAAGGGCTTACTCCCTAACTATGGTCTTCCAAGTGGGGGTTCCTCCGAAACACGTGTTTCTTTTTGTGGTTCCATATTTGTGTATTCCCCTGTGAAGGGTCCAGAAGTGCAAGACAACTGAGACACAGCAGAAATGCGCGGCCTGCAAAGCTCCTCTCTACACAAAGGGTACATAGTACATACCCCGTTTACCCCTGGGGGGCAACCTCTAAATTAGAGTCGCTTGTGGGGTCCATGTTGATCTTGCTTCCTGTGCCAAAGCGTCTAGAGCTGTGAAACAAAGACACACATTTCCCTGTCATGGTTTTGCAGAGTCAGAGGCTTCGACTCTCGGTAGGGAATGAGTGAATGACCCCAAACTGACAGTGACAAAAGACACATCTAGGTCTAGGTATCTGTTAGATTGAACAAATAGAATGAGCAAGTCATTGATTGTTTGCAACTTATGTTATATTGACTGCGTTCCGTTTAAAAAGCGTGTAGATCGGTTCACGGGCTCCAGAGAAAAATACGTATAGTTATGTTGGCAAGTCATGAGCTACTTCCTCGTACTCAAAGAAGAAAAACTGTGTGTACCCCGAGTCCTCCGCAAAACGGGTGGCACACACCGCTGAATACCGACCGCGGGCGGCTTCCGCCCGTCCGTCCTCTCCAAGTTGCAGAGGATCTGGGGGCTGATCGGGGGGATCCAAGTACACCCGCACGTCCTTCCGATGGCCTTCAGCGAACGTTCGGGATTTCTCGGGATAACAAAATCGGATCCCCGCTAAATATCGCTTAGAGGGTTTCAGCCCAACCCTATATTCCACAACCATGAATCTGAGTCACAACCATGATCAGGCAATTGTTTCGGTGGTCTACAAGCCTCGTAAACAGGTAAAAGGGCAGCCGCATTTATTTCTGGCGGGGACAGCCGCCTACTAAGTTACACTTACCCGGGCTTTGACTGTGGCTCATCTGACTCCAAATCTAATCTCTACTAGGAAACCCTGGGAGCACTTCAAAAACAAACTTACATATTTCGAGGGAACCCTCTAACAGTCAAAAAACGGTCAAAGCAGAACGCTGATTTGCCGATAGACGAGGCTTGGCTACACAATCCTGCTCATCCCTGCCTAAACACCGGAAAATGCCACTTGAGACATGCCACTTTCCTGTCCAAGCGCCATGAAAGCAGACGAAACAAACGTGTATTTTGAACCCGTAAGATGCCATGCAGTTTGGCGCATGGAACGTAGCCAAAGAGTAAAGGTCCACCGTTTGCTCCCTGGCAAGTGTCTCATGCGCACGTCTTGCACCCAGAAACTGGTCAACCTTTCTGGCTCTTGACAAACACAGTGAAGAAACCTGCCCCCAAAACACAGTTTGCGCACTCAACAGCTGGGACTTGACTGGTAAAGGGACAATCACAAGGCAAAAGTTAGAAAGTGCAAGCCCTTTGGTCCAGCGATGGTAGAATGATGCTTTGCCCAAGGTCATTGAGGGTTTGACGGGGAGAGGGGGGACGGTTCTAAGAACTCAGACAGTGGTCTGAGAACCCGACAAAGGATTATGGGAAACACAGAATTGGCACTCTTGTTTCACTTGCCTTCCGAGCGGCCCATCCTCCAAAAAAAAACAACGGTGACAACATCAGCTTTGTTTGCTAGCTGACAAGTCTTTTTCAGGGTTTCCACCCCAAAGTCGTAAGAAACACATCAGGAATGGCGCTGAATTCTTTTTGTTGGGGAGGGGGGGGGCGGTGGTGGTGCGATCTTTGTTTGGGGGGGGCAGGGGGAAGGGGGGAAGGGGGTGGTGCGAAAGGAATCCAGGGCCCCCGCCCAGGGCCACAGAGCGTCCCCAGTCCAGGTTGAGGCCCATGACCTCCTCCAGGCCCGCCTGCACCGCCTGGGACCGCGCCTGATGGGTCGAAGGAAACGATCCCATATTCCGGCGGACTCCTCGGTATGTTGCTGGTGGTTTACAGGCAAATCAAGCGGAAGGACCACCAGTTTGCAGGGTTTCCCTAAAGACACGCTAGGGTCGAAAGGGTAAACAACAGATTGGTGGACAAAAATAAATGAAAACAGCCCAACTGTTGGCGCATATCAGCATAGTGGGAAAATAATTAACAATTGTGGTTGTTGTTGTTTGTTCCTTTTTGCATGCTGCAACCTCCTTCCTTTGAGGCGATTGCTTGTTTGGCCGAGCCACGAGTCCCGAGCACCCTCCTCATAAGCGGCCGGCGGCTTGCAAGGGCTTCCCAGCCCCAAAGTAACTTTGGGACTCCTCAACCCTTCACTTGAGACCCAAATCAACGGCCGTCGACAAACTGAAGCTGGGACCCAGTTCCAAGGTGGCCAAAGGGCCCTCCCATCGGCGCCTCCTCTTTCGCCGACGTGCCGGCCCACACGGCCAGCGACGGCACTTCAGCGCCCAAAAGCGCCGCTTCGCCGTCCGCGCCAGCGAAGGCGCAGTCCCCGAAAGCCACGAAGCCGTCGGCGCCGAGATTGCAGGCGACACGGAAGAAGCGCAAATGCAAGGGACCTGGCAAAAGCCAAGGGGGGGGTACTGTACCACTCTCTAAACCACACAGAAAGAAGGGAGTGATTCCTTTCCGCTCCATGAAGAGGCATTCCTTCCTCCAACACGGTGTGAATTCCTTGGGCACAACAGCCCCAAAGAGGAACACTTTCTTGGAATACCTGAGTGGCTTGACCATATTCAAAACGGGAGTGTTTTCCTGAACAGTAGGCGTTACGTTCCTGAACATGATTCGAGCAAAGACCTACTTTCTTGAACACCATGCGACACAGTGAGGTGACAATAAACCGACAACTTTCTTCAACGTCACGTGGAAGACAGGAGTACTAGTTAAAAAGTAGATGTCATCTTCATCGCCATGCAACAAAATATTTTGCCCGACGGTGCCTCTTTGTTTTGCGTCGCAGGGCCGGCCCATGGCATCCACGTCGGTTTGGAAGATCTGCGGACTTTCTGGGAGATCCCAGACCTGCCTGGAAATCGGACTGGTCAAAACTGGGAGCGAAGGATCGGGGGTCTGAACCAAAAAGAACGACTGCCCTCCGCCTTGTCGAGATACCAAGTAGCGCCCCTAACTTTAGACAAACCCCTCACGAGTGTGTCCTTGTGGTTTCCATACAACAGCCCCAAGGCTACCTTCAAGCTGAACGCACAACACCGCACCTTGAGCTGTGCCTCTCAACACTGAGTAAAACCTCGCTGAGCTACGCAACTGGGATCAAGTTACTTGTTTCCGGGAGCCACAGCTAAACTGGAAGGGTTGTGAGAACATTGGGTGATCTTCGAACTGATGTTGGTGGGAAATTTGGGTGGGCCCCCTTCTCGTCCTCTCCAACTTCACGTTAGACTACCTTTTCTTTTGTCGGTTGCTGACGTACCTGAAGTGTTGACTATACCAATTTCACCTTGCCTTGTCAACAAACATCACCTTCTGATTTCGGGGGATGAAACGGGGGGATGAAACCCTGCTTTTCGCTGGGAGAAACCAGTTGTTCAATGGTTGTTCAGGCTCCGCAAGGAGTCGCCTTCTGACCAAACACTGTGGGTGTACCCAAAATTAAGGGCACTGCACAAATTCTTCAACAGCCATGGAGGCTCGTGCGCACCTTCAACGTGAAACGTAAACCTCGAATAAGGGTTGTGACCTACAACGTTACAAAGTGGGTTGAACGCCATGGGTCTGCGTTCATCATTCGACAAGGCAAAGATATGTAAAATGCAACCAATCAATACATCCATGCTCCAAGCTATGAATTCTGAAACAAAGTCCCTGTAACACCAACCCGAGGTGCGGAAAGTGGCTCAAAGGGGCCAAACATATCCATCCCTTTCCCATTCTTTACATTCTACATGGGTTATTCTCCGTTGTTGAATTGGAATACACGCCTGGATACATCAGGACGACCACATCTTGAATCTCATGGAGGCATCCGATACTTTTGGTCAGGGTTCCACTTGGAGGGCTTCAGGAGAGTCTCGGGTGAGGCATAATCAAACCCAGCATTTCGATTGGGGCCATACCTTGCCACTCTGCGCTTCGAGTGTGTCACAGGTGTAGTCTTGCGCGTCCCGAGCCACATCAAGCGACCCCCTGGCATACCTTGCTGGAAGGATGATTTTTACCATGCCTTGGAGGTTATTTGCAATGGCTGCCAGGAAAACTCAGGGGATGTTTTGCTGCTCTCCGGCTGTGGAAACTCCGCTCCTTGTCAATGTAGCAGCGTGAGGCATGGGAGACTTGGGCGGAAGCAAAGGACTCAAGTGTGGTCAAATAGCTCTTTTAATAGGGGTTCGGCATGGTGCCCGCGTTGCTCGTGGCTTGCAGTTCCTTGTGGTTCCCATTTGCTGCATTTGCCTGCTTCTTTTTCTTGCCCACAGGTGGCTTCGCACAGCAAGGGGCACGTCGGGGATTACTTGATGTAGCCGTCGCCTCTTGGCGTCTTCCACGGCGTGTCCCGCCAGCAGCAGGCGGCAAAGCTTGGCACAGCAGGCGTAGCTTCGCAGCAGCGTCTGCGCCGATCGGCGAGACCCCGAGGGGCCATCCGAAAAATGGGCCACTGCTGCAGTTTGTGTTGAAGGTCGCCAGAAAAAGAGAGAGGCAACACTCGAGGCTTGGGAGGTTGTTACCTAAAGTGACATCCTATCTAAATGGTCGGGTGTTCCCACCTCGTTCTCCAACCCTGTGCACATTTGAACACATTGACCTCGTTCTCCAACGCCGCACGTGTTTTTGATCTCAACCACCTATTCTACATTGTTTGGGGGTGTGCCTACCCAACGTTGCACCTTATTCCGTTGTGTTATCCAAAAACATGTTTCCGCCGGGCCTTTGCAGAAATTAGTCTTCTGCAAGCAAAGGCAGTAACCCATGATGCTGTTTGAAAGTTGTCAAACCTGACCTCAATGGGAACCCAGAACTAGAACTTCCCTGGTTGATGCTGATTGTGGCGCGTAAGAAATGTCCTTCATACGCCCCTGCTTGTCCACCTGGGTCGGCCTGATAAGGCCAAGTAAAGTTGATACGCGTTTGCTGCTCGGCGCGGAACACTCATGTCTGAGTCTTGCCCTTTCGGTTGCCAAATGGAAAACCCTTTTTGGCATTTGCTTCAAGGGAAATCATGATGTTTCGGCCGAGTCTTTTAGTCTTTTGCTGGCAGGGAGCCAACCCCCCCCCCCCCGACCCGCCACGCTATGGGCCTTTTGCTGAGACTCCAACAACTGCATCTCCAGGACAAAACATTTCCTTTGGCCGAATCCCTTTTTGGTCGCAAAAGCTTGGAATGCCTCCAGGAGGAATCATCAAGTGTTTAAGGGCTCATTCCAACTAGTTGGTCAACAAGAGGCTACAGCATTGCAGACGTGATTATTCATTGTATGGTTCAATAGTACCCACATTCCCATTATAAGTATCTGATGAGACCCCAAACCCCCCTCCGACAGGGTTTCTACACTCGGGATCCGGTCCAACAGATCAAGCAAAAAATCGGTCTAAAAGGCAAATGTCTTGGTTACCCGCCCCTAAACCTCCAGTGGCCATGGGAAATTGGTGGTTGACTTCAATGGGAGCCTTCCAAAAGAGCCGAAAGAGGGAAAACCCCACCGGAGGAGACTGAAATGATGGAGCGACCGGCACATATCAGAATCCATGCCAAATGGCGTGATACATCAGTTCTTCAACATCAGTTGCAGTTGGCAACTCCCCAACCATGACCTGCCATAGCAACAGGTGTCAAATGACCATAGCACACCGGATGGCACAACTGGATATGCGTCCCCCCGGTTTCTGCGCACTAACCCCTTTTGGTTTCCGTCACCTCGTTCTCCAGGGCAAGGCAGTAGCTCCGCGTGGCCGCGATTCCAGTCAAGGGGTCCACCGCCTCACGGCACAGCGACGGTTCCCGAGATGTCTGTCAAAGCGACCCTCGAAACATTGGCCCCCAACTCTGTTGAATATGGAACCCACAAAGGCCCAAGCTGGAAATCCCGACTTTAAAGATGTTCGAAGCTATGTGTTCAACCGCTTGGGCTTGATTGGGCCCCAAGGACCTGGATTGAGCTGAGGTCACTGCGAGTGGCCAATGGGAAAGGGTCAACTCCCCTTCCGAAGCAAGAGGCCAACAGCGGGGGTTCAATGAGGCCAACCTGTCAGTGAAAAACCAATAGCTAGTTACTGCTCACTTCCGGAGTGGATTGGCCAAAAAACGTCTCAACTGCATGTTTTGTGACTCAAAGTGTAACACATGACATTCCGAAAATATCCAGAAACTCAGGGAGCGAGACTATCTGCATTTGGTGGCCCGCGCCTCCCAGACCATGTGCTGTGCGCTTGGATCGTCCGCCATGGCCTGCCCCGGCACGGCCGGCTGTAGGATCCTGGAGTCGGACACCAACAAACACCCCGCCGGTTCTTGGCCCCAATCTGGGGTATAAGGAAACAAGCCATTTTAGGAGCTGGAACAGTATTTGGAGAACCCCCCCTTTTCTCCAAAAGAACCAAAAACAAAGCCTCGATTCAACTTGCTGGACCTCGGAAACACGCGGACATGCGGCCGACTTCCGCAACCCCCTAGCCCCCAACGCTCTTGAGGAAGTGCCAACTTCGACCACTGCCAATAACCAACTTCATGAGAAAGAGAAATAACTCAACAAAGCGGGCACGCACCTCAGCAAAAAGAACACACACCCTATACAACATCAGGGGACAAAGCACCCAACACGATAGGAAAAACAAGAAACCAACCCATATAAAGCACAGAACGCAACGCTGCATTAACAAACAACCCACCTTACACGAAAACGTCAAACAACAAACAACACAAGCGCAACACGGAATCCAAAGAACACCCCCCCCCCCGCAAGAAAAGAAAAACATATGATGGCGTTGTTCCTTTAAAGTTATCCCGTTAAAATCAGTCCAAAACGGCATCCCTGAAAAGTTTCCTCCCCCCCCCCCGTGCCACAGAACCACCTCAAGCCCTCCGAAGCCAACCGAGGCTGGCACTTGGCCGTGTCTTTGCCCACGAGGAGGCGGGGCGCTGGGTTCACCGCGACGCAGTCCTGGAGGGGGAAAAGCAAGGACCCAGCTTCCTAATTTTGGTGGTGTGGATTGGCGATTTGGTTGCTAGATGTGGTTAGGGAGTGGTTTCCCATATGTTTCCCATCTACCCTCTACAAGAGCCACGCGTTCAAATTCCCAACCCACCGATTCAAGCCACCAACTCAGGGGTCCCTAAAAATTGGTGGTTTTCCTTTTAGGCGCTTGGCCCTGGTCGGGGCCCGCCCTTCCCCCCGCCGAGCCATGACATGTCCAGCATGGCAATCGCAGGACTTTCCCGGGGAAAGTTGTGCGGATTCGCTGGATGTGTCTTTGAGGTCCCAATGTCTTGGTGATGCAACGTCAGGGGGCCCATGCCTGTTTCCCACCTTGCCCCCCTCGTGCCCATGCGTGACAAACTGCGCGTGCGTGCAAGCGAGCGTGCACGCGCTTGCACTTACCCAAGCCGCATCCCCGCCATACCCCCTCAGGCCCACAAAAACCCGTGACAAATGGCGAACAAACACGGTATTTGCGATGTTTTGCACGCTGCATGGCGATGGCGCCACCCGCTGTGCCCGCCATCGCCAAAACCTACTGGGCCGTTTTTGCAGGTTGGCACGATGCCGGGGAGCAAACAAAAAACGGTTGCTGGTGATGCAAGAATCGGGGCTGCTCTGGCTGAAGAGTATACAGGGAATGTTGGCGGGGATGCTGGCCACTGCCGGGTGCGCTTTGCACCGTAAATATGTTGTTTGAAGGTTGGGCAACGGGAATCAGGAGCCCGTCGCAAGGCCGGGGATGTCGGGGATGTTTTGGGGTCCAAATGTCTTGGCATGATGCGGGGAACATGTCTTGTTGTGGGTTCTCTTTTCTGGGTCTGGTCTTCATGCCTCCAGTTGCCTTGGTTTCAGGCTGTTAGGCTCTCACATCACTTCAATGACACGTGCAAGCACGCTATGACTTGTCCATGTTTGCCTCGACTATTCCACGCATGGTGTTTGCGGTGCGAGGAGTTGTCGGGAAGCCATCAACAACCCCTGATGTAAAGCAACTGAGCTACAAGAAGCTGCCGAAGAACATTGGACAAGTGGAATGGATCCTGGCAAGCCACTACTGGCGCGACCCAGCTGTTCTAATTGTTCTTTGTTCCTTGGTTTCCTAAATACTACTTATTGGCTTGTCCGTTCGGGCAGTGTGCAACTTTTATTTTCTGGCTGGACATATGCACCACCAAGCAGGTCACGAAGCCACGAAGCCATCAATCGTGTGTACTTGTATCCTGTGCATGTCTATTACGTGTTGTGTCCTTTGATTTGTGTTGTTTGCATCGCGAATCCGAGTTGTGTGTACGAAGCGTAGTATTAGGATGGACAAACATATGCGCATGTATATGTATACGAACCACTGCGCTTCATGTACCGGTGCATATCTGTGTGTACGTTCGTATGCGTGTACACACACATACACGTGCAAAGACGTACATATATAGTACATAAACATAAATTAACAAATTGAATGTAGCAGGCAGGCTTTACTTTAATTCATACACAAAAAGCCAACAACTCCCGCGCATGGCATGTTTACCAAAACTTCCCCACCACATATGGGTCAAGTGTTCGTATGCATTGCATGAAGTGCGTGAGATAGCATACCCAAGCCCATGCAGAAACACGAAGTGCACTGCGAACGGACGTCGCCCGGCCTCGTCCTTGCCGTAGAGGTAATAGTCCACCAGAGGTGCCGCGGCTACGGCCTCAGCGCCTCAGGTGAATTGCTAGGCTGTTTGGTGGAATGGACAAGCCCTGCGCATTTGCTCGTCCTCAAGAACTAGCCATAGGCCACAAATGTCATGTGGGCTACCTCGAAGTCCCACCCTGGAAGGCAAGCCGAAACTGAGTCCCAAAGAGCGTTCTGGCATTGGACAAGTTGATATTTTGGTTGAACGCCCAACTGAAGGAAAACAGTTCAGTATGGCAATGTTAGGATAGCATCTTGGAATCTTGGGGGCTTTCCTCCTTTTGGACCCAATTGCAGGATCCCTCCGTTGAACCTAAGGATGTTGTGGGCCATGGAGCTCTTTAGCTCCTCATGTGATCCTTGGCTTCCTGGCTCTTTGATAATCTATCAGCAGTCAACTGATCAACTGAAGGCGCGACATCTCCCTTGGATGATCTCGCCATGCATTTACCTCATAGGACAAGCACATTGAAAGGACATTCGGCCCGTGGCAAAGGGAAAAGGACCCGGCGCCAATGTGGTCTTGGTGACTTCGAGGTTCGGAACGCAAGTGGCCGAACAGTTGCTTTCCTCTTCTCCTGGAAACCTGCCGAGCTGCTCCCTGGACGTTTCGGATTTTTTCTGCATCAGCCTGAAATACCCAGATAGGCGCCTCGCCAGGGTTGCTCCGAAGACCAGATCCATTTGCCCAGTCAAGGGAAACCAATTGAAACCAAGACAATGTTGCAACTTTGTGATTTGATCAAGGAACGGCTCGGAGCGACCCTGCAGCCAGTTGGATTCTCCAACGTCAGTCTTATGGCTACTTGGCTGTCCGCTTTCCAAGAGTGGAAGTGGACGGGCGGGTTCCCCGAAAGGAAAGTAGCCACACCTTCCGATCGTCAGCTTCCATTGGAGGGAGGGTAGAACTCGCGGCAATGGGAAGCACGTGATGGCAAGATTTGCCAGCCCGCCATCTGATCGTCGCATATGCCAGCACCTTCCCCTGGTCCGTCCAAAAGCTATCCTCGGAGTGCACGGAGTGGACGCTCGGGTCATCAACCTTGGTTCACAAGGTGAGGTCGGTACCCAAAATGGTGGTGTCCCTTTCTATTTCCCTCTATTTCCAGGCTGAAAAGAGTACCTTCGAAAGACACACATACACCGCTTGTTGAAGGGAAGATGCAGAAAAAGTCCCTGGGTGGACCATACAACCCGCTGTTTGTTGCCGCTAAGAGAAATTGAAGGAACCCAAAAAGGCCAAAAAGCAAAGAGGCACGGAACAAGCTGAAACTCATTGGGCCTTCGGCACCTTCTTGCCAAACACTTTGCCGTACCAAAATTGTCTTCCCCACCGTCAAGTCAAAGGAACTCTGTTAAGTAAGCCCATAAGTTTTGACACACAAAAAGGTTTGAAGGAATATGGGGTCTTCCCATACCTGTAGTTCAAGCAGATCTAGTGAGATGATACGACTGGGTCCTGAAAGAGCACACTTTCAGGGGTCCTCGAACTGCTTTTTTGGGTGGAAAACTAATTAAACCATAAGTTGAAGATCATGTTGAGGATGCCCCAAAAACATGGTCCTGGTACAAAGGAGCTTGCCAACTCAACTGACAATAATTTGCATCGAGCTTCGCTGTCCATGCTTCCTTCGAGCTTGTTGACGCGCCGCTCGAGTCACGCACAGAGAGTCCAATCCACGCCTCACTTGACATGTAGACCACAGTCCAAAGATGTGGCCATGGTGGTCACTGTCTTGGTTTCCTCACTGGGAACCTTTACATTGGTGGTCTAAACAAGCCTTTTTTGTTGTTGTATGGATTCCTTATAATCGCCCCTAGAAAGGGTACCAACTCCCGACACAAAACACATCAAGAACAACTTCGCACACTGTTGACTATTTGGCACATGTCTATCATGTATCTGTCATGGCCCATGGACCCAGAAAGTCAGGTCCGACTTTCCCTCTGTGCCTTTGAGACAGGCGGCATTGGAAGTGTCTCAGGCTACAGGGCAGCTTCATCTCCGCCCAGCTCAGGCCAAACTCGGAGTCGATGGATAGACTCCGCAAGTTCTTGGGGAACACCACCTGTGAGCGAATCCCGCTCTCCAAAATGGCCAGGGTACATACCCCATCTTTTTCTTGGGGGTGGTGGTTTGGGGGAGTTGAAATCAAATCATTGTTGAGGAAAGGGACCCTTTGGTGGATGTTGGTAACGTATCGATCCG